GTAAAATCAAAATCATCAAGAATCGAGTGCCGTTCCACAAGATAATGTAGAACCACCCGCTGAACAAGCACCTGTTCAAAAAGCAGAAATTATACCAGAACAGCCTCCAAAGCAAAAGGTGAAACGCCCGATGACGGACAAGCAACGGGCTGCATTGGAGAAGGCGCAGAAAGCGAGGGCTGAACAATTGCGCCTAATGCAAGCAAAACGCGAGAAGGAACGGAAGGAGCAGGATAAACAAAGGAGGATCGATGAGGCCAAACGCATCCTTGAAGAGGAGAAGGAACAGAAGCGGTTGGCGAGGGAAGAACGACAAAACACGAAGCGAGGAAAGAAGGCAACACCAACACCAACACCAACACCAACTAGGAGCAAGAGATCCAAACCAGCAGCAAAGGCGCAGCCAGCAGCAATACGTCCATCTAAAAAAAAGAGCGTAATTTTGAAATTCGGTGATGATGAACCATTCTTTGACTCTAGATCACCATTCTTTGAGGAGGACAATGTTGAGGAGGACAACTATGGTGGTATTTTTGGCTGAAAAATCTTCCATTTTTTTTTTTCCTGCAATCAGTAAACAAAGATGTCAGAAGAAGTTGCTGTACCACGTAACTGGATCTTCTCAACAAATTCCTTCGCCAAAAGTTACTCCGATCCTCGCGGTGAGGGGGTGTCAATCTATTCTCCGATAGGTCAAAGTACATATACGACAAAGTCAAGAAACCTGACTCCGATTAAGATCACTTGCAACTCGAATTCGGTCTCTTTCATTTTGCAGAAACTAATTCTGTCAATGGATGTTTCTGCATATGATAATGCAGGGAACCTGATAACTCCTGGTACAGGTGTTAAAAACACGTATCTTGGCTTGGAATCCATTATTCAATCATTGACCATCAAAGCAGGAGGAGAAACAGTTGTCAATATACCAAACTATCCTCTTTATCTAGTACAAACGTACCGCAATCTATCTGCTGGTAGTAAGAAATTGTTGAGCCAACTTTCCGGATATGGAAACACCAATATCTTTGCAACATCGAGTACCATCTCCATCAACCATCACCCTTTTGTGGGTTTCTTTCATCTGACAAATGACCAGTTCTTCCCTGTTTGGGCACTTCCAAATCAAGCACTCGAAATCATAATCACGCTTGCGGATCCTTCAACCGTCTTTACATCGGCTGGAGTTGGAGAGATTAGAGTATCAAATATCAGGACTTTGATTTCGTATGTGACACCACCACCAAGCAGTGTCATCAATTCAACACGCGCTATAAGTGATGGAAAGCCAATATTCTATGACTATGTGCGCTCAACCCAAACGGAAAACGCATGTAGTGGCGGAAACCGGAATACATTTTTGCTTCATATGAGTGGTGTAAGGTCACTTCAAGGGATCGAAATGTCGTTTGTGGACGATGATGTTCTCAATGACCAGACGAAAGATAAGGCGCTAATGTATTCTTCACAAGGGCTTCGCGAGTGGCGAATTCAATTGGGGGCAAATCTTACCATTCCAAGTGGAACGCAAGGGTTCAGCCATAGCCCATCTGATAATCAAACGTTACTGGTCACACAGTTATCAAATAACAACTTTGACCAACTCGGGGAGATGGATATGTCGTTCGCCGACTATGATTCAAAAGCCTTTTCATTTGGATGGAGTTTTGCCAGCAAGGATGAAGGCAGTCAGGCGGCATTGAGTTTTACAGGGACAGACGGTTTATTAAGAGTACATATGCAACATGCTGTTGCACCTACGCAAAAGGTGCGTATGGTAACGTGCTACCACGAAAATGTCACTTTAAGCATTGGTGTGGTCGTGACTGTGGTCTAAGGCTGCCTTGGCATTTTTTCCCATCTTTTTGAGATGTTTTAATTCCCAGCTTGTCGTCTACATAAAGCTCTAGCTTCTTACTGCTTCTTGAACAACCAGCCTAAACAAATATGTTCATTCAATTTTCCCAGTCACTCTTTCAACAAAGTCGTCAGCGTTCTTGTGAAGTTCTGTAAGTTTCCTCAGCCCAGTGTCTCCATGACTAGAAATCTTTTGACTTTTCTCTCGGACTCCTGCTGAGAAAAGTGGTGACTCTTGTACTTGGCGATTTACGTGCTGCACGTGTTTATTCAATGTGGTGGCGTGCCGGACTGCTTGATTAGCAAAGTTCCTTGCTTTGGCAACATATGACGGTGCGTTATTCCACAGAACATTTGCCTTTGCTTTCGCTTTAGAAAACCAATTAGGCATCTTGATTTATAGAACAGAAGAGATATTATTTTTTCAGCTCTACATAGCAAAGGAAAAAACCTAGTATGGCATATTACCGAGCCAATTACTTGAGTGATACATATGCTATTTCGCCACCGATTCCAAATCTGCAAAAACGTCAAGTGGGTGTCGCACTAGACTATTCAAAGATTGATATCCTCGGACGACCACAAGTTGTCTATTCGTGGAACCGCAATGTCCATGAGAAAGACCTAGCAACAAAGACGAACTATGCAGCACCGAAATATGAACCGAGGCTCTCATCTTCTGATGTTCTGAAATTATCGGCTGCCCAACGAACTACCAAGGCTTACAGGGACGGTCTTGAATATGTTAAAGCAGAGGAAGATTACAGGAAGAAACAGAAGTATCTTGATTCTATTACACCAAGTCGTCGAGGGAACGCTCTAACTGTTGGAACGCAAAATTCCCTTTCAGGATTACCGATTCCTGATGAATCGGGGCATGTGTTTTCCTATCCCGCATCAGTGACTTCCCAAACGGGCTTAATGTTTGAAGCACCACCTAATGGAAATGAGATTCCAGCACAGCCACGTAATGTAAATTCTACTCCCCTAGAACCTGTAATTCTAACAAGGGAGACAGAAATTAGACGAGATGCAGTTGGAAATGACCATGTCAATCATGGGACTGGCGCTGCTGTTCCATTGGATGCGATGACAATGGCCGATGCTTATATTCCACCGATTCCAGGCAGTTTCCCTGGCTTGACTCCAGAGGTTCATGTGGAATCTCCTCAAATCGATGCCTCCATGGAAACAATGCCTCGTAGTGCCGCACCAATTCCGCATGATACAGTACTCCTGAATGACCGCCATGATCCGTCTGGTGTAGCGGATGTTTTAGAGAGAACTCCGTCAATGAAAAATTTATCCTGGTTCCTGCTAGAACTCCATTTCACTTCAAAGGTAAGGAAGCAACCATATTAGCAGGTTCCAAAAGGAAAGCAAATGCACCCCCGCCGATTCCTCGATTAAACAAAAAGAAGCAAAAAACAGAGCCAGTAACTCCACCACCGGATGTGATTTTTGCTGGAGTTGCTCCTCATGGAACCAAAAGAAGACAGTACAAACAACCAGATGATAAGCAGACCACGGTAAAAAGACAAAGAATAGATTCTTCTATACCCGAACGAGAGGAAGTAGAGGAAATTAGATTAACATCCCCTGAAGAAGTTGAAAAACATATATGAGCCAAAAATAGGAGAAAAGTCAATTTTGCACCAGCACCTCCGAATGTTGCTGTCAATCCTCCAACGTTAGTACCGCTAACCGCGGACTTGGGAAGTGAAGTACGTCCACTCACAAGATTGCGAGGACAACGTGAAGCGGAATATGTTGTCCCTCCTGCACAAACACAATCGACACTGCGTGTGGAACCTACAGTTCGAAGTAGAAGGAGAAAAGGAGCAGAGGATGTCACACTTCCACCGAGGAAGAAACAGAAGATATCGTAAGGTTTTATCATCCCATCTTATCGATAAGATGGGCACCCTCGAGCACTTTTGCCAAGCTCCTCAAATTTTACTTCCTAGCTACAATATAACATGTCTGGAATTAATAGTAGAACTTCTACGGGGTTACATACCGTAGATAACACAAATCTCTTATCTCCATATGTGACAGGCGAAATGGTTGGCTTCGATGCTGGAGCCAAGATAAAGGGGTTCGATGTTGGAGAATTTAAGCATTTATCTAATGAAAATGGTGAACTTAAAGTCAACGAGGTTGAAACCACCTCTGAATGCTTACCTTGTATGAATGAACATGGCGTCATATCCATTGGATTAAATGTTGATAACAAGAGGCTTGAAATTGATGAGGAGAGTCAGTTGACCACAATCGACATATCTGCGCATCAACCTCTTGTCTACTCAAAAGAGGGTCATGATATCCAACTTCAGTTTGATGATTCATCTTTATCTGTAGAAGAAGAAAAACTGAAAGTGATTCCCGAAAATTATGAGTTCCCAATGTACCATGATGATGAATCATGGACGGTTGGTATTAGAGTGGATGAGACATTATCCATTAACGAAAACGGACTTTCAGTGAACTTTCCACCACCGCCGCCTCTAGAAACACTGAAGAAACCTCTATATCGGGATAATGGAATTGGTGTCAAACTTCACAAGAGTTTGAAGGTGAATAGTTCAGATGAACTCGAAACAAACTCAAGCCAACTGTTCAAAGCATTTGGGGCTATAAAGACATCCAGCAGTGCGGATACGCTGTTAGACATCAGGTCTTCATGGCTCGACTTTGGATTTGGTAGTCTGACCGAAATGACTAATGTGTTAGGAGAGGTAGACACCACAGCAATACGCTTAATGGTCGATTCTTCGACATTCAGTCAAGCGGGATCGAGATTGTCCCTGAAATCACCCGGATATGAACAAATCATGTATGGGAACCTTACTTATGGCTACTCGGGAAGTTCTTCATTCACCTATTCGTCCACGCTTCAGGAGTTGCGTGTACCCAATGTAAAGTTAAGCGGAACATTGCCTGCGATTGGAGGTGGCTCGTATGCTGTAAGTAAAGACTATCTTTCACAATTTTATCAAGGCTCTCAAACAGGAGCAATCGCCGTGAGTCCGGAGGCTGCTGGACGTCGAGAGATAGGCTGTTTGGTCGATAATCAGACCATCAGAATTGTTGGAAATGCACTCACAGGTGGGTACATTTTTCAGGACTTTAATGGCGTATCTATTCGACCTGGAACGACCAATGATGTGGTATTATCTCTTAAATGCAAGGCTGGCAGTTGTCTCCAAATGGTCAAAGCAGATACCATTAAAGATGTACTGACTTGCAGCAATGGTATCGAGAGAGTACAGAATGACCTTCAACTCGATCTAAAAGTTGATGCTAACAGCGGTTTGGCCATGGTAAACAGGGGTACCATACGGGATACATTCACAGCCTCCCAAGGGGTAACACGGGTGGGCAACAATTATAGGCTGTCGTTAACAGCCCAGTCTCCAGATTTAACCCTCAACAACAGGGTTTTAAGTTCTAATATAGCAGCCGGGATAGGCCTCCAGAAGAACGGTGCCATTCTATCTACTAATCTCCGAGGTATAAATGGTGTACAAGTCAGCGGCGACTTGATTTCATGTTCACTTACAGGAAGTGATACCGTTCTTTGCGTAGGCGATTCCTTAAGAGGTAATTATGTGGGCAGTACCAACTCATATGGAAGTATTATTGTTGTTGGAAATACGATTCAGTATAACATGATTCCTCCTCAATTTGTAAGTAACAGTCCAAATCTCATCATTACAGGTTCGTATCCGCTTTATAACTTTACCCTCATTGACCCTACGCCATTATCGAAGCAAAGGGATACAGACAATACAGAGCAAACTGACACGGCTGAAATCTTGAAAACTGATATCCCGGATGGAAATGTGGTGGTGGCAAGCAGTATTACCCCTCTTTCAACTATACCCTTTCCAGCCATGGCTAGTCCTCCTCTTACGGTTCCCATGGCTGTCAATTCAATTCTTCCTATTACAAGTGCATTTCCATGGGCTATGATTTTCGGAGGGTCACGCAAACGTAAGGTTCAACGAGATGCGGAAGGCCAACCTATACTCGATGGCAATGGAAACCCCGTTTACGAACCAATAGACCCTGTTACCTTCATGCCACCACTTGAACCCGGGAGCAATGTCGCAATTGCTTCTGATCCAATAGGAGGTTGTACTCGTCTCTTGTTTGATACGCCTTCATGTTATCGAGGCATCAAATATGAATACCCTCAGCAAGCAATCAACTTGGGAATGTTAAGAGACTTTAACATGGAAGTGATACAGCCATGGACAACATCACAGATAACTAATTTGACTTCAAATAATGTTGTATTTGGAGTGAATATATCAGGGAAAGTCATTACAGGAAGCAGAGTTCAAACTACCGCCTCATCAGCAGGACAATCATCTGTCTTTATTTCGAACAGTTTTGATTCAACAAAAAGCACCTGGTTCAGGCTCGATGGCACAGGCTTTTTAGGATACAACCCCGGTGCTTCAACATGGCTCGGTGCTCAGGATTTACCAATGTTCATATATCCTAGGACATCTAGCATGCCTACTCTAGGTCTAAGAGTGGACACAAATGGTTCGTGCGTTGTAGGGGGTGACCTTACTATCGGATCATCTTCTGTGAGCGGTCTACGTTCGCTGGTTGTATCCAACCTTTCTTCAGGAAGCAATGCTTGTAGCATTCTTTATCTTACGGCCTCAGGAGGTTCTGGAGTGATGTTTTTGAACGGTGCCTCGCGAACAGTGGATGGAGGAGCATCAACAATGACATTAAGGAATGATGCAGGCAGTCTTCGGCTTCAAGCACAGACTGCTAGAGGACTAACAATACAGGCAAACACTGGTATCATTACACTGGATAGCACAAGCGTATCAACCTCTCCAACAACCGGTTCCCTAGTAAGTCCTGGTGGTGTTGGTATTGCAAAGGATGTATTCATTGGTGGTAATATCTTCGCCTCCACCAATATGAAGGTAGCCACAGAATCCTTTGTAACAACAGGATTAGCATCGAAGCAAAACTTATCTCCTTTGCTCGACAATATAAGTAGTCTGACCCCGACCGATGGTACTTTTTTAATGGGAAATGGTGGTTTTTTCCGGATCGTACCTAAAGATGAAATCCTCAGCACATATCAGCCCCTGATTACACCTGCGAGTTCGCTTAACCTGAGCGGTTTAACGGTACAAAATTCAAACACCAATGCTACAGCATTCACACTAGGGAACACTAGCACTGCACAGACATGGGGCGTTCATGTTTCCGGTACTTCAAATGGAAACCTACTTTCTGGAGCATTAGGCTTTTACTCGTCATACCAAGATAAAGGATACGTGTTCTGAATTGACCCATCAGGTAATATGGTCGTGAGTGGCGGCCTAGGAGTATCAACTGATGCATATATCGGTGGAATGGCTTACATCGGAGGTCTCGAAGTTGCATCTCAAAAATTTGTAATTGATAACACCGCTCCAATAAGTCAAACCTTGTCTTCACTATCAACAACTGTTACTAATAACAATAATGCCATTAATACTGCACTCGCATCGAAGCAACCAATGAACAGCGCTACCAACTCTCTGTACACAATGACGGTACAGCCTGACAGTTGGCTTTATTCTTCTGCTGGGACTACGTTCGAGAATGTTACTTCCACTCAAGTGAAAGGCATCCTCAATATAGCAACCAATGCTAACGTGAATACACTCCTTTCTGGTAAACAGAACAACATCACCACATCAACTAATTTGAGTCTTGCCTCAGTTACGGCTAGTGGTTATGTAACAGTAATTAATGGTGCCAATCCAACATATATGTCCCTGGTCAACTCTTCATCGAATATCACTTGGGGTCTTCGAGTAGCAGGTTCTTCAGCCGATGGCTCTAACCCAGCAGGTGGGTTTGGGATCAACTCTTCATATAACAACGTCGGTTATGTGTTAAAGATTTCTAATACTGGTATTACATATATTACAAATACCACACAGTCAACTAGTTTGACTACAGGAGCACTTCTAGTAAGTGGTGGTTTAGGTGTTGCAAAGGACTTGTATGCTGGAGGAAATGTAATTGGTAACTCCTCTGTGGATGCTCCAAACTGGGTTCAATCTCGAAACGTTTCGTCTGGCGTTAATGCCTACACAGCCATTGGTTGTGCCAATGACAGCGGCAATGGTGCGTTACTTTTCCTCAACTCTTCTACAAGGACTGCAGATGGAGCCGGGAACAACGCTACACTTTGGAATGACTGTGGAGACATGAACATCCAAGGAAAATCTGGTCTAGGATTAGGTCTACAGATTGTATCCATTTCGAATGAAGTTAAGGTGTTGACTGCTACAGACTCCTCGTCTGCGACATCAGGAGCCTTGCAGGTATCTGGGGGTGTTGGAATTGCGAAGACTCTGTGGGTTGGTAATAAGGTAACCAGTGGAAAAGGGACTGGCTATGGTTTTGGATGGGGTAGCATCGGTGGAAATGTCAATACTGGTGACATGACATTCTTCTCCCCATCTTTGAATGGACAAGCCTTCTTCAACGATCAGATTAACGATGTCTGCCTGCGGGCATGGAATACTAACATGAGATTTGGTGTTACAAATAGTTCATCTCAATTAGATATTCTCTCATCTGGGAATGTTATTATCAATACGACGACAGATTGTACTTCCACAACAACTGGCGCATTCCAAGTCAAAGGGGGAGTTGGAATTAGTAAAGCGCTTTATGTCGGTGGAAATGTTTTCTCAAATGGTATAAAACTAGCAACCGAGAGTTATGTAGGTACAGCCATTGCTTCAAAACAGACATTGAGTCCGCTCCTAGATTCTATCAGTGGACTCGCAATATCTGCAAATTCATTTATTGTTGGAAGTTCTGCTACATCATTCTCCACGAAAACCGTTGAAGAGGTGAAGTCAATTCTAGGAGTTATGAATGTCGACATCTCAGGGAAGCAAAATGCTAGTCCTTTACTCTCTACTCTCGCTGCGATGTCACCAATGAGCAATATGTTTCTCATGGGAGATGATGTCCAAGGATTCACTCTCACAAATGACATCGAAGTACGAAGCATTTTAAACATTGTCGACTATGCCCCCAGCATATCAGCACTGCAAGGAAGCGTTGCAACCCTACAAACATCAGTATCATCAAAGCAGGATACCATATCCAGTAGTACCGCATTATCAACAGGAACACTTGTTGTAAATGACATAACTGATTCCACATCAGCCATCACTGGAGCACTTCAAGTGAAGGGTGGAGCAGGAATCGCTAAGAAACTATGGGTTTCTGGTGCACAAATGACCGTCCAAAATACTAACTATAGTGTTGGCCAAACCAATACCCTCATGTTTTCACACGCAACACAAAATATATGTTCTATACAATCCTATTTGCCTGGTAGTAACAATGTTGACCTGAATTTCTATGTCGGACAAAGCAACGCATCTATTCGAAGTATGTCGCTTAATGGAGCAACCAGAAATGCTTATTTTGATAGAGATGTCATCATCGGAAACACCAGTGTAAATGGTTTAAGAAGCATTCAGGTCAAGAATGTAGACCTCGGTTCGAATGCAGCACCAATTTACTATTTAACGACGGCCGTGGGTTCTTCCGTTCTTTTTATGAATGGCTCAAATCGAACAGTAGATGGAGGCGCTAATACACTCACACTCAGGAATGACGTTGGTGCCGTACGCCTTCAATCTCAGGGAGCAAAAGGTATTTACGTTTATCCTAACACAGGTAATGTCGTTGTTGAAAGCACCACTCCAGCGTTATCGAGTACAACTGGCGCTTTGGTTGTTGCAGGTGGAATTGCGGTCGGTGCCCATGTCGTATCAGGTGGGAATCTGTATTCAAATGGTGCTGTGTATAGCAACGGACAGGTCTGCGCTACTCAAGCATGGGTGTCATCTCAAGTACAGTTTCCTAAGGTTCAGGTGTTCAAAATGCTAACTAAAGATGTAATCACAACTGGTAGCGGAACAAAGACGTTCTATGTTTCTACAGCCGGCCGGGCGTTGATACGCTATACCATCAACTTGCATGGCACCAATAATGCAGGAGGAACGCTCAATGTGTATCTAGGAACTAATGCCAGTTCGATGCCGTCAGTCTTTTCCAGTGATTTTAACTATAATGCTGGAGTGAACAGAACAATTTATGCCTCATTCATTGTGTCGGGGTTAGTTCCTGATGTAGCATATTTTACCAATTTTTCAGCAGTAAATGCAGCACTGGACACAAGCGCAGATGTAACCATTATAGAGGTAATGGAATTAGGGTCTTAAAGAAAGGAACTTCATTTGCCATCATTTAAAAAAGAAGCTATGCAAGATAAGAATGCGACACGCGGATATTGAAGGTCATTCAGTATTGAACATCAAGGACGCTGTGAAGGGTGACATGGATAAATTCTGGAGGTACTGTCGAGGTATGATGACAGGAGATAAAAAACGTATCATATTGTTTCTTCCGAAAACAGACCAGAATGAACACATCTTCAAAGAGATTTTGTCAATCGTCCACTTGAAGAAACTGGATGAAATCTGCTTTCGAAATTCCGGCTACTTGGCCATCTTGCAGGATTGCGTTCTCTTAGGACACAATCATAATGAAAGGCTCTTTGTTCTAGAAATGCGGATGGAAAGTGCGTGAACGCGGCTTCCCTTTTTTTTCTCTATAAAAAGATGGGGATGCAGATGGAGAACTGTATCCCCATTGGGTCATACAGTCCTTTCCTTTTCATGGCTTCTTTCGTTGGACTGACCACAAAAAGAAACGAAAAAGAAACCACACGCATCTGAAACACAGATGCCAACACAGCTTTTTGTGCAGCAATGCACGGGTCTGGAAACTAATGTTTCATCCGCAGTTCTATTCAACACACAACAACCTCATTATCCATCGAACTAGATAGACTCTTAGTACAATGAAGGATTAAGTCTAATTGTTCGACAACAAATGATTCCTTTTCACTCTTATGCTGCATTTGACGATATGTTCCTATAGTGGTAGATAGTAAGAGAATCATACCAGGCCAACTAGTTTCAAAATGTGTAGGATATTCGAAAATATGTTGAGCCGCCCATTGAAGTGCCTCAAGTGCAGCCTTGAGATGGTCTTCTTCATCATCCGCCGCAGAGAGTATTCCATCTATCGCTCGGTAAATAGTCTGGGAATAAAAAGCACATCGGAACTGCTTTGTATGTTTAGGTTCTTGGTCAGACGACATTTTTTAGTTATACAATACTGCCAACATGTGAACGTTAAGATACTTTATATAATAATGACGCTTTACATCGTGTTCTACATCATGTGGCCATTGCTATCATCGATACAGATGCCCACAGCTTCCATTCTACTTTTCTTAAGCCTGCCATCCTCCAATCCCATCCCAGTGGTACTCCAGACTACATAAATCTACTCGATATGCTTGCCAGTCGGGATTCCCTAGCTGACTGCATTCAGCTATCCACTCCATCAGAAAACTATGGACGCTGAACAACATGTCAACAACACCGATTTCCTCTCCAACTTCGTCAAGTTCTTCTCCATATTTTCTCACTTTTTCTTTGTTGTCAACAAAAGGAACCCTCGTATAAGGACTCTTCTCTGGGTTTGTCACGATGAAATTAATGATGTCTAAGACAATTGCTACGATTCGTCTTTCCTCATCCGAGTTAGCATTGTAGCCCATTGTAGGAATAAGAAGAGAGCCATCCGTAGGCGCGCTGAATGTGATATTGAAGAATTCCTTGAAACTCGTCATACTGTTTTGTGAA